TCAGTTGGTAGCCCCTATAACCCCCCCCCCCCACTGTTACACTATGACAAATGTGCCTGTGTAGCATTTCCAGTCTCCAGTCAAATGGACATGACATGCCAGGATGTCAAAACATCCTACAATGCAGCTTGTACCTGGTTAGCCTTAAAGCTGTCCAGCTTGCGTCTTCCCTCGACGGCTAGCTTCTTGGCCTCCTCGATGCCGTCCTTGTTCCTCTGCACCATCCTCTCCACCAGAGAGATGGGGACGTTCTGGTTCAGCTCCTGTAGCCGTTTGGCCCGGTTGTTCAGCTTGGTCCACTGGTTCTCACGGTCAATTATCTCATCCTGTGGAAGATGATAGAACACCCGACAGATTAATTTTGGACAAAATATTGCACTTTGGACAAATGTTTGTAGCCCTTTACAGCTCATACTTACAATACAAAGTTGATATTTTGTGGAAACCTTCCCTGGCACACTGGGCAACGGGGCATAATGACACCCAGCAGGGGTCGTCACGCGCCGTTGAGAATCGAAAAATCTGAAGATGTTTTTAAAAAATCTGAAGATTTTCTGAAAAATCTGAAGATTGTTTAAAAAAATCTGAAGATTTTTTTCAAAAGTCTGGGAAAATCTGAAGATTTTTTCAAAGAATCTGAAGATTTTTTCAAAGAATCTGAAGATTTTTCCAATAAATCTGAAGATAGTTTCAAAGAATCTGCAGATCTTTTTAAAAAACCTGAAGATTGTTCCGAGAATGGTTTCAAACATTGCGATCTTTAGTTGTAGAAGACCATACAAAAGTCCCTGTACTTTTTGTTGTGTCAATAAAGAATCTTTTGACACAACAAAAAGTACAGGGACTTTTGTATGGTCTTCTACAACTAAAGATCTAACAAAGCTAAATACATTAAAGCTAAATACATGTATGGATGACTTCATCCTATGTATAGAATATATGTATGTGGCAAATTACGTACAGAATATATATCAATGATAACAATAAAGGATTAACTATTCTCTAACATGTACATGTAGTCTCTGGATTGAAACATTCTTTAAATGTATTTTCCTATAATTTGAATACTGTATTGGTTATCTCTCCTGAGAATGTGATCAAATTTTTCTATAGACTAATGTATTGAAATCGGTTGAACAAGAGGAAAGAAAGGTGATAAGCAATAGGCACTTATCATTGTATAGTGTACAATCCATTATAAAATGGTGCTCATTTTCAATCATGTTTGGACAAAATGGGCAGATAGGAGACAGCTAGATGACATAACTCCCGTTATTTTTCTTTTTCCCCCATTGACCAGAAGTTAGGTACAAACTTGTTGTTAACCTGTAACATTCTGCACTGACAACAGAATGTTGCAGAATCTCTGCACTGGGTCACAGAATTTGATGTACTGCATTGCAGTAATCTGCAACTGTGCCCATAAAAGTTTTCAATTTCACGGCAGCAATTTGAAAAAAAAAATTCCAGCAGGTTTGGTGTTTTAAGTGAAAAAAGTATCTGCCCCACCTGGAACAGATCTAGCCTCCTCTGCATGTCGGGTACTTCACTGGCATCACTGATGGTGTACAGCCTCTTGCGAAGGTCTTCCACTGGGCCATTGAACCAGTCCTCAAAGTCACTGTTGATGTTGTACATCTCGTCCCAGATGTTCTCCATGTTTCGCAGCACATCCTTGTTGTCGTGCAGTTGCTCGCTCACCTAACAAGAAACCAGAGATTTCAGACTTCAGGAAATATTTGGCGTTTTCATGACTTTCAAGTTCACCCTTTTTCCTGTGTCTCACATTTTGGCCTTTTTAATTTTCATTCTGCCTGTCAATCTTCCCCTAACCATATCCTATCAACCTACATGTAATCTTTCTGGATAAACCAACACAAACCAACAGCTCATCCACCTCAAACAATATGAGAATCTGTACCCATGCAGAAGTAAATATTATAATATTATGATATTAATTGAACAGTTTACTTTCAGTTCAAAATCTTACACACCGTGTTCTCAATGAAGTTGTAACAATTTCAATTGTGAGAATTTGAACTGCTTAGAAATTCTCTTCCTTTAGGCCACACCAATTTAATTTCTTGGTTAACGGATTCGCCCGCTTCATTCTTTTCTGATTTGCAAATAAAAATAAAAATCCAGAATCAACTGCAAAATGCTCATATTTTGCCCTGAACAGTTGAAAACAGTCCTTTTGATCCTAGTTGTTACAGTTATTCCATCTTTCAATGCAATGGTATCATTAAAAGTTCAAAATTCATTGTTAACATTTTGAACCAGCCTGGTGTGTTGACTTCATGGCTCCTATCGTACCATTTTGGGCCATAATAGGATGCCTAGGCCTGTTTTTATTTTTTATTTTTTTCGCCCGCCCGCTCCATTATTTTTCTAGAAAAATCCGTTAACCAAGAAATTAAATTGGTGTGGCCTTATCGATTTGCGACCTAACCGGTGCAATAACTCAATTGGTAGAGTGCTCGCTTTGTAACCGGGAGGTCGTGAGTTCAAACCCCGGCCGGGTCATACCAAAGACTTTAAAAATGGTACACACTTCTTTCTCTGCTTAGCACTCAGCACATATGAGAAAAAGTGTGGGGAGGTCAAACACACAGCACTACCAGCGGACCAGCCCCCTGCTGTAGTGCATTGCACAACTGTGTGTCGCCCAAGGGCTACAGAAATGGATATGGGCACCACCCTACGCTCTGCATAAGAAGCATGGGAGACCTTTCCTTTTTTATCGATTTTTGCCCTTACCTCGATCCACCGATGTGAGGTGTGGTCCATCTCTTTGCGAATCTCCGTGGTCTTCCACAGGTTGGATGACCTGAGATCCTGGACCAGCTCCGTCCCTCTCTTACTCATCAGGTCCAGCTTGGGCATGTTGTTGGAGAGTTCACTCTCTGCATTCTGCCATGGAAGAGAAAAGATATATCAAACATTCAAACGTTGATGACAATGTATTTATAATTATCAAAAGCTTGTTAATTACATCAAGTGCCAGACCATGGTCAGACCATGACTTTGGGGTATATTTACTAATAGTATAATTATTTAGTGCACTTTTGAACAACCATACCCATCGTTTCCACTCAAATACAGCTACAGACTGTATTTATTTGTATTTCTTATACAATGTAATAATTTATGTTTATCTTGGGGAGTAGACATAAGTATGGAATTCTTAAACGCCAAACCCATTTACCATTCACTCAATTGTAAAAACAATCATTGACAATTGTATACTATAATGTATAGCACATTATTGTATATTTCCGGGTATAGTATAGAATTTGGTTTGACTACATCGCATAATGATCCAGAGCTACACATTACATTGTAGGCATTAGACCACCGAAAAAATTGAAAATGTCTGTTTAGGGCTACAGAGAATGACATTAAACATTTATTTCCCATTTAGGCCATGTTGATTTGATTACTAGTATATGGATGACAGCCTCTGGGAACCCCAAAACTGATGCGAGCGTGTGAATAAAAAAAAAGTTTGGCCCCCCCAAAAAGTTTTCATTATAAAATCTATGTGGTTTTGAAGGTTGGGCAAATGAGACAGAGTATGGTTTGGCAAATAATCTTAGACTAGTCTTCAAATTCATTTCTTTACATTTTCATGTTTTTCATTTCATTTTGGCATTCTACGACATTGGTATCATTGTCCGATGTTTTTTTTAACCTACGGTATATAGTTGCAACTGTTTGCAACTGTTTTGTACGATTTACAGTATGGTTGACAACTTTTTTTTGTGGAAACGGCCAAAAATTCATGCGCATGAGGATGTCATCCATATAATTGAATCAACATGGCCTTATTGGCTTTATGTAAGGCTGACCTCATGCTTGTCCAGCTGACTGGCGATGTCCGCCGGCCGTTGGCAGATCCTGCTCCTCAGCACCAGCTCCGCCCTGTCAATGCACTTGTGGGTCCTCTCCTTGCACTCGTAGAACTCGTTGATCCTCGTGAGGAGGTCCTCATGCTCCTGTCTCGCTCGTCGCAAGTGTTCCTGCCAGAAGAAGGAATCCCCAACATTTCATTTTACTGAAATTGCAACAGTGCAATACACGCGGAACAGAGGCAGCTGTTGCTGGTGTTGTGTCCCGCACATAGAAACGACTACTGGACAGACAATTCTCATTTTCACTTGAATCTAGTGGAGAAAGTCCAAAGGGCACAAGATCAGTGTCATGTCAGGACTCAAACCCGGGACCTCTTGATTCCGAGTCACGTACGCTGCCATTGTGCCACCCGACCCCACAAATCCCCAACATCACAAACCACAGAAAGGGTCCACAGCTTCTACCCATAAATTCACTGTGGCTTTACTAGTATGAGGGATATGAAACAAATCTGTAGTAGAGTAGGTGATAAGATTTCGTGGTAAGAGGTTACTGCGAAAACCCAAAAAATTTAAACCACCACGAACATTTCACAATTTGTGCGGCACTGAAAGCAACAGTGGACGATGCCACCTACCTCAGTTTCATCCTGTGTCCTCTCAACATAGGCGATGTCTCCGACAATGTCTTCTTTCTTATGAGGCATCTCCCTCTCCAGCCAGCTGCCCATGGTCTTCAACTCTGGGGTCTCGCCTCTGTTATGCTGCAGGTCACGTTCCAGACGCTACAGGGTGCACAAGTAACCACTCTGTCTAAGGATAGTCTATCAAATAGTCTAATCAAGTACAAAACTTTAAAAGGGTGCTATTTCTTTAAGCAAACCATGTGACACATGTCTTTTGAACCAGTTAGCAAATACTACACAACTGTACTGTGTTACAAATTCCGTAAATGATTTCATCAGGTTGGAAAACGACTGAATAGCAAAGTTCTTTTTATCACAACCATTTATTTTTCAAGCCGACGTTTCGATGACGATTGTAGGCACAATTACACTACGTTCCGGAATGTAGTGTAAACAGAAAAAACTAGCTTAAGTGCACTATGAACTATGTAACACCTTTAGTGCACAATGCACCAAGTAACATCTAGTGTCAGTGCACAGTAAACCAGTCAGAATTGCCCTGATGAAGATGACAGAAGGTCATTGAAATGTCGGCTCGAAAAATAAATGGTTGTGATAAAAAGAACTTTGCTATTCTGTGTGACAAATTGTTGGACTGATATTCAGGCAGGCGTTAGAAATGCCATGATTTTGGGTGTTTAGAATGTGGGTACCGCCTAAAATTACCTCAAACAAACGATCCCTCTCCCTAACGTTGTTTGGAGTAATCTCCCACTGCTCTTCCCCATCCAGGGTGTCATCAATGTTGGTGCACTCTTGCAGCATGGCCTCCTTCTTCTCAAAGAACTGCTTCCACCTGTGGCATTTGGATTTATTTTATTTTCATTTTATTTTTGACGATTTACCACATTTGTGGAAGGATTGACATAACAGGTGAGTTTCACCTCTTCAAAGATGTCAACCCCGAGACCAGACTGTAAGGTTTGAACCACTTACACCGGGAAGGTCCCCTACTCTTTTCGATAAGTGTGGTGGGTTCTTTAACGTGCGTGGGGTGTGGCTCTCCCCAAACACGGGACCTCCATTTAACATCCTATCAAAGGGACGTCCCTAGCCGAAGCTAGGTACTCAATTACACCTGTCAGTGAGTGAAGCGAGGAAAGTTGTGTAAAGTACCTTTCCCAAGGGTACAACGTCGGGGCACATGTTCGGACTTGTTCGGGTACGACCCGGAATCGAACCCGGGTCTCCCGTTTCATAGTCCAGTGATGTACCACTACACCACACGACGCCACGATTTCATTCACTTGCAACGATAGTTGCAACAATAGTTAGTCTTTCACAAAATTTTCTTTTGGGGGGTTTGTAGGTACATGTACATGAAGGTATCCATTGTAGGCCTAAATGAAATCAGTAAGTCAATTGTGGGAAAGAATTTGTTCCTGCTACTTCAAATCGAATCCGAACCACAGTGCTGTAAATTATCATTTTCAACAGTTTATCTGTGACAATTAATAAGATAAGTCGAAGGTGATATCCTTATGTCAAGATAAAACATTAGATTATATATTATAGATATACACATATGTTGGAGACAGATTTGAATATATCTTTACAGGAAATGGTTCCCACAATGCAAAAATAGGTAGATATATAAATTGTTATTAGAAAACATACCAAAAGTTGTGATTAGCCCATTCGATTGTAACACTTTATCAAAGACTTGTGCTATCCCTTATTGTTTAGGTGTTAGTCGACATTAGGTCTTATCCAACACATTTATTTTATTGTTTGTTACTCTCTTTATGTAGTTTGCCATACATTGTACCATGTGCAATTGTCGTTCAATGATATGTTATATGACTTGTACATGTCTACTTACTAAGTTATTCAATCAAAAGCCCATAGTATATTAAAAGAACAGCAAATTGAGTCACAAAAGAATCAACATTTCCACACCTGTGTGCTCGTTCGATCTCCTCTGGTCTAGTTTTCCAGGACCCTTGTCCACCACCCTTGCCCTGTGGATACAGTGTATGTTGCTCATTGACAATGATGTTGGTGGTCTGTGTGGCAAGGGCAAAACAGGAGTTAGGGTCAAGAGAAGTTGGCCAACCTGTTCCCAAACATCATCAGAGGAAAGACAATCATGACCAGTGCATTGACAACACAGTGTGACCAATTCACTCACTGTGAACCATGCAGGGCAATTTGGCATACTATTAATTTATATCCAGGGTGGCTGAGCTGTGGGTTTGAGTATCTGTTTATCCGAGTAGGTTGACACCATAGGAGTGAGGGGGGGGGGATTGACAGGAAAAATGACAGGTCAAAAGGACAGACTAAGAACATGGGGTGGATTTGAGAGTAGGTTGACAGCATGCGGGTGGGGGAAGATTGACAGGTTTCCAACCCTGCCTTAAAGACGTTTTTTATTTGGAAATTAAAGGACTGGTCCAATCAGGTTTGCACTGTCATGACATGAGTTCCCCAGAATGTGTCCAAGGGCAGGTTTCCAGCAAAAATGACCCATACCTGTTTTGTGGTAACATCCCTTTTGAAGATTGAATAACGTACTATCCTCCTTTTGGAGTAAGCATTATGGCAAGCATTATGGCATTAATGGCTTGGGGAAAAAAGTATGCATCTGGTATGACATTACTACAGCAACAAGCAAACACAAGGCAACCAGGAGTGCTAGAGTAGAGGAGAAAATGGGTCAACTACAGGAATGTGCAGAAAAAATAATTCTAACTACTTTAAGAAAGCATTGAGTTTGCAATATTAGTAATTATGCAAAGTTGCTTAAAATCAGTGTGAGCATAGGTACACAGGCAGCAGTTGTATGTAATTCTTGTAGCAGACTACAATCATGTACATTTTGTACATTGCACATGATGTAAAGCAGACTGTGCTTCGAGTTGCAGCTTATAAGTCAACCAAAGCGACTACGAGAACCTGCATATGGAAGGAATAACTGCAAAAGACATCACAATTGTTAGCAAGTGTCGTAACTGACTCCCAGCAGCAAGCTAAGTGTTACACAAAATACAATGTCATGTAGAGTTAAGGAGAGGAAGTATAGGACCTGACGGCAGATCAGGGCAAGAGAAATGTTACCAAACGTCAAAACAGGACAAGGACATTACTGTTCCTGTGGAAAACAAAATAAACAAAGATGAACAAACATACATGTATAAACAAACACAAAGACAAACAAGGAGACTTAAGCTTGATGACAATACTATTATATAATACTAATTAAAAAAAAAAATTTGGAAAGACAAGAATCAGATTTCAAAACTGATCAATATAAATTCTAAAGTAGTACTAAATACATCTTTTTCTAGACAGAATCTGATCAAGCAAATAGTGGTAGAGGCAGCACCTGTATGTTAAAAAATGATACGCAGAGGAAGAAATTTAGCAAGCTGTCACAGATGACATCCTTCATATCATGAAGATGCACCCCTTAAACTACACAACTCAAACCCAGGTTTTAAGGAAAACACTAAAAGATCCAGACAGATATACAGTTAGAAGACAGATGCATTCAAAGTCAGCATGAAGAAAAAGGCTATTAGTAACAAGATATAAAATTGTTATTCAATCAGCAGTGACTAAGAGTGGGAAAGAACTCAGTTATGTCACTAGTCTAGAACAAATTTAAACCATTTTTTTGCAACTATTACTGCAAAGAAAGACAGGATGGTAGTGGAAATAGCAGATGTTAACTCTCTTGAAAATGACAGTTAAATATTAAATATTGTTACTATATTTGAAACAGCAACCACAATAATTAATACATCAGGTCAGTGTGCTAATATTATAGTATCAAAGAGAGTTTGAAAATAAATACATTGTATGCTGTACCATGCCATGGTACATGTACAATTTACATGTTTCTACAGTTTCTACATGTACATGTATGACCAATACAAAAAATGCTAGTAACTAGTCTAAGAATTATTATAGATATAAAGAGAAGTTAAAAAACTCCTTTGTTAAAAGTAAGTGTGAATGACATCCACCTCGTGAATATTGATTTGCTGACCACCACCAGATCCATTAATACCATCAGGGAATTGTCCTTGGCCACCACCGGACACCTAGGATCACACAATCATGAGTTAATATGTAGAAAAACACAACCAATATCACTGCATTCATACACATTTACTTGTGACCCTATAGTGCAGTAACTGCTATTTACATCCGGTGACTTACATGTACACACAGTGTACAACTTTCTTCAGATCTGATTAATATATACATCGTATGGTGCATGTACATTTTACAAAATGTACAAAATGTATACATGTACATGACAGTGTGTATTACCGGGTATGTAAAAGGAACAACTCTAGCATGTGAATGTTCTAATAAGGCCACACCAAATTAATTTCTTGGTTCACGGATTCGCCCGCTTCATTTTTTTCTGATTTGCAAATAAAAACAAAAATTCAGAATGAACTGCAAGATGCTCATATTTTGCATTGAACAGTTGAAAACAGTCCTCAGTGTTGTTAATGTTAAACAGTTATTCCATCTTTCAATGCAATGGTATCATTAAAAGTTCAAAATTCATTGTTTAAATTTTGAACCAGCCTGGTGTGTTGACTTCATGACTCCTATCGTACCATTTTGGGCCATAATAGGATGCCTAGGCCTGTTTTTATTTTTTTATTTTTTCGCCCGCCCACTCCATTATTTTTCTGTAAAAATCCGTTAACCAAGAAATTAAATTGGTGTGGCCTAAGAGTTGTTTTGCTGGATAGAAAAGAGACAGGTTGATTTGATTGAGGAGTAAAGTCTGTAACATTGACAGCCATTCATACTACAAAGTGTTTGTTGTGAGCTGGGATAGAAGGTTATTAAATGACTATGTCTACAATGACAGGAATGGTTTGGGGAGGGTTTTAAGGATCATAGATTGGCAACCTGTGAGGCACCATCTCCAGATCTCTGTTGACCATCCCTGTCTCTCATCGGCAACTCATCCTCTCCACTTCCCCGGCCCTTCATTCCAGAAATCTGAGTGTTTGTATGCGACATTGAACTTGTGTTACTTCATGTAACATCCAATAGCCATTATTGACATCATAGAACAACATGAAGTGAAGAGAAGACAAGAGGAGTGACACAGACATCAGTAGACTGAATTCACACAGGCCGGGATGACATTTAACACACATATTGTCATCAATTACTCAATACACACAAGTTTGCAACCAGGTGCTTAAGTCATAGACTGAATACAACGAGGAAGAAGTAAGGGTTTTGTTTCCATACGTTTTGGTCCATAGGGTTCAAGATCTGTGTCCAGACATGTAGGCAAGACAAACATGAATGGTGAGGAATATGCTTAGGGTTGTGGGGTGGAGGACAAATAGATAGAAAAAACACAAGCCACAAACATGAAATCACAAATTAGAACAGTCACACAGACCAAGAAATTGCTGTAGAGAGATGTCAAGAGTACACCTTGGAGTCAGTGACATACATTGTAAGCCGTAACTGTGTTCTAGAAAATTCTATAATTATTTTACAAAATTATACTATTGTTTGATAAATTGTTTTAAAAGACACATCGGTGGGTTTGCAGTTACTGTAATAATCTATTTTCAGGACAGACTATACTATATCCTACAGAACAGTGTTCCTGTACAGATCACAGAAGAGTACAACAGTCATGTACCTTCATGTAATATCCTTTGTACCAAGAGGACTTGGTGTGCATGGCACAAGGGAAAGACAAAAATGTAACACATGGTAAGATGATGTGCAAGTTATGATCACAGTATGTGAAAAAGGTAAAAAATACAGTTCTTAATGATCACCATATAATTATTACATTCACATCACTGAATGCTAGCTAAATGACAACTTGAAGTAACAGTTGTATAGTAGTAGATGAAAGGGAAGTAAGGCCACACCAATTTAATTTGTTGGTTCTCGGATTTTTTCAGAAAAAATATGAAGCGACAGGGCAAAAAAAAATAAAAATAAAAACAGGTCTAGGCATCCTATTATAGGCTTAAATGCTACAAAATGAGCCATGAAGTCAACACAAAAGGCTGGGTTAAAATTTAAACATTGAATTTTGAACTTTTAATCAAACCACTGCAATGATAGATGGGAAAACTGTAACAACTAGGAAGAAAAGGACTTTCCTCAACTGTTGGGGGGCAAAACATGAGCATT